ACAGCTGTTACAGTTCTGTTGTACCAGCCTCTCCACTTGTCAGTCCACTTGTCTAGTTTGTTACAATCTTTGATCTAGTGGTTGGCTGTTAGTTACAATCTTTAAAGGCTGTTGTGGCCTTTTCTTGTACACTTGTATTTCTTTAGTTTGTGTCCCAACAAAATGCTTGTTCCAAAGGACGGTTGTGGTACACGGGAAACCCAATCCATTGGGGTACTACCATATTTGCATTGGATGACTTGGCACCAGAGATTGTTTGGTTCCTCCCCAAATCTCCACAGCCATTTACAAAGAAGGGCATTGTTCATATGAAGTCCCAAGCAACCAAATGCAGCTTCTTTGAGTTTGCAAATGGAGTCCCAAGCAACCAAATGCAGCTTCTTCTCATCATAGTGAAAGATAATAGATCGGGAGGCTGGACAACAACCTACCCTTCCACCTAGAGAGCTTTTTCTTGCATCTCTCAGTGACTGGATCCCACAGGGAGCTAGATCTGTATTGCCCTCCGAGCGGTAAGCCCAGATCTTTAGAAGACAAAGAACCCACGCTGCACCCTAAAGTATTTGCTAATTCAACCATCTGAGGCACCTCACCCACTGTGATGATTTCGGTTTTTTGAAGATTAATCTTCAGCCTAGAGACCGCTTCAAATTAAGAGGCACCTGAGAAACATCAAGTCTGCTTGAGCAGCTCTTGATAAACCTAGGGTGTGATCTGCAAATTGCAACAAAGATATCATTGGACCACCAGTTCCAACCGAAAATCCTTCTAAATAGCCTCCTTCCACTGCCTTGTTTATCATTCTGCCCAGAGGATTCACTACTAAAGAGAATAGGAAAGGTGAGAGAGGGTCACCCTGCTGAAGTCCTCTTTCCCTTTAAAGTAGCCTTATGAAGCTCTGTTAACAATGACTGAAAACCACAGATCACTAATACAACCATCTATCCACTTCCTCCAAACCACTCCGAAGCCCATCCTGGTGAAACATAATTAACAAAAGGCCAATGCACATTGTCATAGGCCTTTTCTAAGTTAATCTTGCCAAACCAAGCCAGACTCCCCTTGCTGGAGTCTTGAATCAATGCACTCACTTGCAATAAGTGGGCCATCCAGAACCTGTCTCCCATCCACGAATGCACCCTGTGATGGAAGAACTTCCCCATTACCTTCCTCAACCTATTCGCCAACAATTTAGAGATGACCTTGTAGAAGCTGCTGATCAGCCTGATAGGTATGAAATTCCTCAATTCAGTTGCGCTGGCCACCTTTGGTATTTGAGAAATGAAGTTTGACCTTGCACCTTGAGAAAGCTATGCATTTTGTTGGAATTCCTTTCATCTTATAGGTAATATTTCAAATGGTATGAAAGCGAGATATTAATTCCTGTTTCATGAGTCTTGTTTTTGTATGTTAAACCCTGTGTACATGGAAAAAACTACAGACCACCGAACTGGTATACAACTTAAGGCAACTCTCAGTTGTACAAATACATGTCCTTGCTAAGTTGCTGGGCATCTTATTGGTTTGCTCCAATTAACAAGTATATGTTAATGTTAATGTATCTTCTGTCAAAAACAATAGTATGTTAATGAGAAATTTTGAAATAAATGCTTTGAGGATTCATGACCTCTTTGAGTTTTTATGTGGAACTTGTAAGTACTTCTCATATGTTAAACGGGCACTGAAGTTTGAGGAAAAAAATAGAGAAACAAGAAAAATAAGATTTGTGACATCAATTTTAAACTCTTTCAAGTTCCAAGTGAGTCCTTGAAAGAACTGGCATTGAGGCTGAAGCTTTCACTAAGGTGCAAAACAGGTATGCTAAATGGAAAATGATGTGGTGGTCCATACTGTGTACATTCACAACAATTTTCTCATTCAAGATAATGCAGTTATGATTAATCTAGATATTCTGAAGCAAAGAAAAAGGATGCATAACTCCTTGGTGCGGTTTTTGTGTTTAGTGTACACCATTGACAATTGGCATTGTAATGGGAACATCTGAAATTAGCTTGTAACATTTTCCTCTCAAATAAAAAAAAAAAAAACATCTAATGGAGTTGATACATTTAAGGGTGGGGGGACGAGGGGCTTATTATAGCCATGTTCTCAAGCCCTATTTGAGAAGGAGACTCTCTTAGGGCTGAGATCCTTGTGGCTCTGGAAGGTGCCCAAAGAGCAAGGGAGCTGAACTTAAGAAAAGTGGTTTTTGAAGGTGACTCAGAGGTGGTGGTGAGATGGCTAAAGGAAGATAACTCTGGCATTTGGAACTACAGCAATGAAAAGAAAAAATTTAAGTGGCTGACTAGGGACACTGAGGTGAAATTCAGTTGGGTAAAGAGAACTGCTAACTCACTTGCGGATGGGTTAGTCAAGCGAGGCTGAATAGGTGATCTCTCTTTTGGGCTCATTTCTAATCTTGTATTTCTGTTTTTGCTAAAATGGGGGAGTTAAGAAAGTTTACTTCCCCCTCTCTTGTAATTAAAGTTCCTTATTATTAATAAATTCTGCTGTTATTGATAAAAAAAAATCTAACATTAAGGCCTGTTCGTTTTCAGGTAAATCACTTACCCAGGTAAGTGTTTCTCAGGTAACACTTATCCAGGTAAGTGCATTTACCTGTGTTCTTTTCTGCCTAGGTAAGTTTTCCCTGTTTCCATTTTTATCCTTGTATCTTTTTGTTTGTAGTGGCTGTTTAATGGCATTTTTGTCTTATTAAATTTAGTGCCTCTTGGTGGGGAAGTAACTTACCAGCTGGGAAAGGGTAAGAATTTTTGGGTAAATGGTCAAAAGACTTACTTGGGGGAAAGTGCCATTACTGTGGGTCCCATATTTGCCAGAAAAAGAACATGGGGAAGTTGGTCAGCTTCCTGTTGGCCAACTCCCCCCTTAATATATATATATATATATACCTGAAAATGGAAAAGGGTAAGAGTTTTTGGGTAAATGGTCAAAAACTTACTTGGGGGAAAGTGCCATTACTGTGGGTCCCATATTTGCCTGAAAAAGAACATGAGGGAGTTGGTCAACAACACCCCCCCCCCCCCAAAAAAAAAAAAAAAAAAAAGAAAAAAAGAAAAAGAAACCTGAAAATGGATGGGGCCTAAATTGATAGTTCTGGTTACTTCAGACTTTGTATGAGAAAAAACCTTAGTGTCCTAAACATGTTTGAAGTTTCATACTTTCAGTTCCTCATCTTGCTGAAGTCTTATTTCCATCTAATCTTTTGCTTTAATGTTTTGAAGAACAACACATATTTACGTTTTTTATTATATTGTAGTTAACTACAGCTAACTTTTGCCTTTTGTAACCATGTAGGACGTCATGGTTGGTTGATGGCAAAAGAATTGCAACAAAAATCAAGAGTGCATCTGCAACATGTGATCCTAGAAACATCAAATGGAAAAGCAACCCAACAAGAGCCTGTCCAAAGTGTAACCATATTATTGACAACAATGATGTATGATTCACTAAGTTTCATAGGTTTTCTGACAATTCACCAATGTTGCATGGACAAAGACATGGGACTTGAATCTGATACATATCCAGGAGTCCGATTTTTTGAACAAAAAAGTGGGATTCAATACATCTCATATAATTGTTATTTTATCATATATTAAATATTATTCTTAAAACTCATAAAGCTATTCAACCATAAAAGTATTACAACTTAATTAGTTAAATTACAATTGACAAGTTAATAGCTGTTTTTCATGGTTATCTTAATTTCAGTATTAAATGGAAAAAAATCTAATTATTGATGGGTCCTGAGTTATAAATTGGGAAAATACAAATACTAGTCCCCTACCTGACAGTTTAAATGGTTGGACCACTGTTGCATAGTCATTTAAAGGTGGGGTGTCCATCAACATTGCAATTCACCTGTTTTCTCCCTTAATGAACAACAGAAATTAGTTAGAGGAAATCTTTGATTAATAGTTTCCATTTACATAATATTAGCTATGGACAACATTGCCAAATTTAGATGCCAGGAACAAAGTAAGACTATACATGGCAAATGCCTGTCTATGACATTTATTAGAATTAATAAATTAAAAGTGGAATACAGGGAAAGCATATTGTATGTATTTGATGATAGTGGGCATAGCTACTTATAATTATGTATTAGGAGAATAATGTTTATGGACATGTTCTTTGCTTAATTCTAGGAGCATAGAAATTGTTAGACAGGGCATCATGTGACAACTTTTGTTATAACATGTATTTTGGTCTTTTTTTTATCAGTATATCAATCTTTATACTATGGTACTGCTCATCTACCTTTAAACAGATTCTTGTAGAAAATACTCTGACCCTCTAACTTGTAGAATCTAGTTTATGCAAACAAGAGAAGCATTTTTTTTCTTACTTATAAAAAAAATTATTGTTTTCTCCCATATGAGGAGTATTCCGAGTATATAAGTGATTTGAATTATGTAGTAGATAGATTAAGGGCCTGTTTGGCAAGTCTTTTTGTGAATAGATGCATTGAGCTTTTGACATAAGATCTGGGCAGCCCGAAGACCATTTGACAGATGCGAATCTTTCCGTGCATCGTTTTGGGTCTTTCCGCGCGAAATTAAAACGCGGAAGACGCGGGAAGCTTCATTTGGAGCTTCCCGAAATCAGCCCAAAATGGGCTTCCCGCGTCTTTCTGGTGCCCCGTCTTTTGGCGGCGAGATCTTCTGTGTGCCAAACGGGAATAGACCGATTTTCACTCTTCCCGGCTTGTAAGCAGCCGAAAGACTGCACGGAAAGACGTGCCAAACGGGGCCTAAGTTTGTATGTAGTTGTCCATATTCCAATGTTAATTCTTAGAAAGAGCTAAGAGCTGCTGACAAAACCAAGTCAACTGGGATTTTCTGATATACTGAGTTGATATAGAAAAGGAAATTTCTGTTGCATTTGTCCATCCCTGCATTTAAGTTCCCATCCATTGCCAAAAATTATAGTTCTAAACCAGGGTTATCATTTATTATTTATATGCCTGCACTACTTTATCAGAAAAATGGAAAAACGGAGAACAAAAATGAAATAAATTTCTGCATATGTTGCTTCATCTTCCTTCATTTCCAGTTCCCTGTGGGATTGTACCTGTGTTAAAAGTATTTAAAACCTCTCTATTTTCAGATCACCCAACAGTGGCCAGGTTTACCCAGAGGTGTGAAATTCGATCCATCTGATCAAGAGATTATTTGGCATTTGCTTGCAAAAGTTGGTGCATCAGGTGTGAAACCTCATCCTTTTATTGATGAGTTCATTCCAACTGTCGATGAAGATGATGGAATCTGTTATACCCATCCTCAAAACTTACCAGGTCAGTCACAAATTACTGTGTGCATGTTGATTCTTTGACCATTAACTATGGCCAACTGACTTTTGTAAGGAAAAAATACTACTTTTTAGGTGTTAAGCAAGATGGAAGTGTGTCCCACTTCTTCCATCGGGCAATTAGAGCTTACAGTACTGGAACACGGAAACGGAGGAAAATACTTGATGATGACCTGGGTGATGTCCGTTGGCACAAGACTGGGAGAACTAAACCTGTGATTTTGGATGGAGTACAAAGAGGATGCAAAAAGATCATGGTTCTCTATATGAGCATGGCAAGGGGTGGAAAACCTGAGAAAACTAATTGGGTGATGCATCAATATCACCTTGGCACTGGGGAGGATGAGAAGGATGGAGAGTTTGTTATTTCTAAGATATTTTATCAGCAACAGGCAAAGCAAGGTGACAAAATTGAAGGAGACCAGCCTCTTGATATTGCTGAAGCCATTGTTGCAAAAGTTGATCCAGTTACTCCTAAATCTGTGACTCCTGATCCACCTTGTACTGAAAGGTTACATTCTGATCGTGGACATGAACAAGAATCTACATTTAATTACATGGAACCCTGTGGCCAGGTAAAAGTGGGGGAAATGAAAACCATCTAGCACTCGTAATGTATCCTTTCTGCTATTCATACAATATAAAGATTAAAGAATTTGCTATTCATGTAGTCATTTAAGATTGCTAATATATAGATATAGATCAATAGAGTGATGAATCTGCTATTTATTCACTTATTTATCTTAATTTGTTTGTGCTACATAAGCATCATGGGAAAAGATCTATAGAAGTTGGTTTGCCACCTGGGTTGGATGAGCTTGACTATCAAGATCACAGAGTAGAAGATTGTGAAAGGCCGCATTCTGACCTTGATATTGGAAAAGAACCAGAATGTAGTCACCTCACAACGTTTTCCCAGGTAGAAAACACTCATTTAACAAATAATTTCTGCTCTCACATTTTGCCACTGAAATTTTGAAATGAAAGTGTCTCCTTCCTAAGATCCTATTAGTTAGCTGATATTTGTAAGTCATTTGCTTCTGCTTTTCAGCATCCCGAGACAAGGTACTTGGAAGATGAGATACAACCTAAATTGGAAAAACCCGATGGTCGAGGTTCCCAGAAACTGGATGAACATGATAATGACATGGTGGACAATCATGAAAATCAAAATGGGGAAGATCCAAAATGGTGGGAAGGTGAATCACAGTTCCTGTTAGATTCTCAGCAGCTCGTGGAAGGACTGTCTCTGTGTGATGAACTTCTTCAGAGCCAGTCCTCCAGTGGGGATGGAGATGGCAAAGAACAGAAGGAAAAGCCCCGCCTGTCTGATTATGCTCAAATAGGGGTAGAAGATCTTAAGAGGGACCTGGAGGAGTGCCAAAAGTTGAGCGTTGTTGATCCTGGCAATATTGAGCTTGATACACCTCCAGATTTCCGGTTGAGCCAGCTTGTATGTTTGACCCTCTCTATCTAACACTGTTTTTTATGTTGTTGTTTCGAGTATTATTGTCCAATGGTGATCCTCAGATCCTAAAGAAATTTGGAAATGCTCTTGTAGGAGTTCGAGTCACAGGACAGCTATACTCCATGGGTTGGGACCAAAGTGGGGGCTGAATGGAGTATGGGTGCCAATTTAACTCAATGATGCTCAAGTGGATTTACATTTTTGTATATTTTTTTGTTATCTATTTATGAGTTTCACTTATCTGAGAGGATGTCCTTTACAACATTATCCTCAGTAAACCAGAAACAGAAAGACATTGCATTGTTTTGACTTTTGAGCGGACTCCACTTATAATGCTGCTGTAAAGCTCTTTGATGCTTGAAACCATGTGTGAATTACTAATGCATTTTGGTCTATGTTCTTCTGAGGGTCAGGGTACCAAACTCATCCAAGCATGTTGTCGGTTTCTGTGCTAGATGTCCATGAAACTGAAATAAAAACATCCAGGAAAAATTATTCAATCTTTCCTTATTATTAACACCCCTTCCTCTCTCTCTTTGATACGTTCAGTTCGGTATTCTATTGTTAAATTACAGAGTTGCAGTTATAAAATTGTAATCTGTTTTTGCATATTTCGTTTTCCCATTGGTACGAACTCTCAGAAATGTAGCAGAAAGAGAAGACGGGGAAAGGGGCTCTTCTACATTTTGGAGCAATTCTTTTTGTTCTTTTTACCTGTTTTACGTGGATGGAACTTTGAGCTGTTACTTGCAGAGGAACTTACACTAAATCCTGAGACCCCTCAACAAAATGGGAACAGGCCGGTGTTTACACTAAACTAAATTCAAGGCATCACATCAACAAGAGCGTTTGTATTAAATTCAAGGCATCACATCAACTGGTTTCGCATTTCATTGGAGGGTGGTTGTTCTTGGAACTTTGAAGGGTTTTCCTTCCTAATTGGCTCATGTTTCATGACTTTGAGTTCCCTCAACAAAATGGGAACAGGCCGGTGTTTACACTAAATTCAAGGAATCGCATCAACTGGTTTTGCATTTCATTGGGGGGTGGTTGTTCTTGGAACTTTGAAGGGTTTTCCTTCTTAATTGGCTCATGTTTCATGACTTGAGTTCATGCACGATGAGACTGGATCTTCTCCTCACTGGGCGCCTCACACCAATCTCACAAGCACATCCCACCGTGCATTGGGAATACTTCTCATACTAATATGTTATTATTCATGGAGAAGTACGAACAGGCCCAATGCAAATTTCTGAATTTCACTGCAGAGCTATAAACATTTAAAATGTCAAAAACCCCCACTCCATTGGGCCTAAAAATTCTGACCCTAGGCTGAACCGTCATTATTCCCAATGCATGGTGAGATGTACATGTGAGGTCGGTGTGAGGCGCCCAGTGAGGAGCAGATCCCAATTCATTGAGTGTAGGGGTACTCTAATCGTGAAGATGTGATGGGTTCATGCATCTCTGTACATAGGCATGGGCAGTGGGTCACAGTGGGTGTTAATGGAATCAAATGTAAGTACGTGCTACAGCCTACGTGGTCTCAAAATCCAAAAGATATGCTTGTTTGATCCGTGCAGAAACCTGTATTCTCCATACGGATGTATGAACAAAGCTTAAATCAACACGCTTCAGCAGCACATTAATATTTAATAATAACACTTCTCGTATGTTTCAGCTTCTACTCGGCATCTTTCTTTTCCAAAGCATTGTATAATAATATAGCAAATTCATTCCTGACTGTTTATTTGTTGATGAAAACTCTTCTTCAATATTAATATTCTTTGAGGTCCAGCCGTCCAACGTGGTTTTCCCAAGCACAAGCAGCCATATTGGACCGAATCAACCACCATAGAAGTTGACAGGTTTGCATATAGATTATAGAATCTAGAAAGTTGTTTTTCTATCTTTAAGGTGGGATCATTGATAAGAAAGATGTATGATCACAAATCATTGATAAGAAAGACATATAGATTATAGAATCTAGATGGTTGATGTAAATGTATGTAGCTAATTTGGCATTATCTCCATGAAAGGGATATTTCTCTCTTCAGTAAGAGTCAAGATCAAGTTGCTGGCGCCTGACAATCCAGTTGAGCCATATGCAAGAGACTTAATTTAGAGACTAATTTATTTATTAAAGGATTCACCTAAGCGATTAGCTTCCTATACAACCATACTGAAAAAACCAACTTCTGCCTAAAGAAACAAAATGACTGCTTTATAATGTTACAATGCTGTGTACCACCCTACGAGTTATTGCAGTTTAAATCATCTCTAACAGAAAGAAGCTCTACCTCAGAATACCAAAGCTTTCCATATGCCAAATACTCTCTGGAGCTAAACACCCTTTGTAAGATTAAAGACAAGGATATCTACTCATTCACTAAGCAGAAATTGCGTGATCAGTCATAGAGGAGGTCAACAATTAACTTCCCGATCCGTCAATTGAATTCCAATTTCATTTTCAATTTTCAACAATTCAACTATTCTTCCTTTTTTTTTTTTAATCAACAAGTTCAACTATTCTTTGCACCAATGTAAAATGGAATATCAGTAAAGAACCTCATTTTACGTCCATTCAACTAGATCCACGCATCAACCCAAGCCTTTCCTTGTGTGCAGTCACCTTGTCTAGCAGTCAAGGTGCCTACTGACAAGGTCACTTAGCCTGAATGCCATGACTAGTATCAAAAGGAATCTATCCAGGCAACTAGGCAACTGCCTAAGTCATAAGGTGCTAGCCTAATATGTATATGTATATTACTTGTATTACTTACATTTTGTCTTAACATTTTACTAGAACCAAGGGTTTTGACAGGAGTGAAAGAAAGAAGGATGAAAATGTTCTTTTTTCTACAAATATTTCCTCACAGATATTAAATAGAATAGGGCTCTATCCCTTATTCTATTTTTCTTTATATTTACACTCTTGAATTTTTTATTAGTATAAAATTGTATCCTTCTTTAGTTGCTAATAATATTTTGATATTACTTACATTTGTCTTAACATTTTACTAGAACCAAGGGTTTTGAAAGGAGTGAAACAAGGATGAAAATGTTCTTTTTTCAACAATTATTCCCTCACAGATATTAAATAGAATAGGGCTCTATCCCTTATTCTATTTTTCTTTATATTACACTCTTAAATTTTTTATTAGTATAAAATTGTATCCTTCTTTAGTTGCTAATAATATTTTGGTATTCTTCAATTAAAAACTAATTATACAATGATGTTTTGTTTGAAATATAGAAAGTAATAGATTTAAAATGTCACTTTCTTTCAGATACGATTTGCCATGCACTGAAATGTAATTGTCTTATATAGTAAAAAACATTGCTTTTTTTCAATATATATATATAGGTGTACAGAACTAGGGAATTAAACTATAATTTAATTTTCTCTTTGTCAAATTCTATCACCTTCTACCATCATCAAGTTGTTATTTTTTTTTGATCGATCCATCGTCAAGTTGTTTTCAACGATTCAAGTGTTGATCCTGAATCAACAAATATTAACTAGGACTGCTCCAGTTTAATTTTAAACTGGCCTTTGTCCTTCACAATTGTGCAATCCCATAACCAATGCCATAGTCCATGGGGTCAGAGAATGTTAATGGCATATAGACAAGACTCACTACTTGCAGGTTTCATCTCCATTCCATGCTTTCATTGAAGACCAAATATTAACCTTCCCTTGATAAAAGGGCATGGAGTACCTATCCTTTCCTGTTACCAATTATGTCTCATAAAACAATAAGATCAATATACAATTTCAGATTTCCAGTCCCTTGAGCTAAACAAGATTGATAAGTCCAAATTTGGCTCATTGTGGGCAGACAATTGCTCACTCACTCAGGCACATTACACACATGATATGATAAATATTGATCAACTATGACATTCTCCCATGTATATTTGGATCTCATGTTGTTACCATTGAAAGTGATCTGAAGCTGAAGTTTAGTAAACCAGGCAAAGCATGTGTTTATGTGAATTCTACTACTATAAACAACAAACAAAACAATCCCTTCAAGCTAACATGATGCAGGCAGAAATTGGATTCACCATACTAGGCAGATTGGTGCACAAGATTCAACCAAAATTTTGTGAAAGAAATCTATAAAATCGAGCCCATTAACCTAAATTGCTGAATACTCCCTACTCATGGAATCAAATCACAACCAGCAACTAAATAGACCCAGTATGACCAAAGATCAAAAACACAAATTGTTGAAAAGAAAGTAAAAAGGAGTACAAGAAATCAAATTAGTTCAAAGTCAACTAGAGATCTACCTAACATGACAATGCTCATTAAACAACAAATCCACTTAGAAGACAATTCTTTTTTCTTTTTTATATGTTTGACTTCTTACATCAGATCGACATGTACTTCAATCCAAAATCGACGGCAATTCATGTATCTGAGCCTTATAGAACTATACATATTACATTAAGAAACTGGAGGAAATAAAAGGAGGGAGAGATGGAGAACCGATGTTCTCACCCTCTGGCCTTGAGCTCGGCGAGGCGCCTAGCCAAACCATCTTCAGAGACCTTGTCCTCTGCCTTATTAGAAACCGGATGCGCTGCCGGCTGGGGAAGCCCAACAGAGACCTCTAAACCGTAATCATCAGCTACCTGTTGCATCAAACTATTAACCTCGGCTTCAGGCGTCGACAGAGAAGTGCTCCCAGCCATGGAATTCTCCATGAACTCGGCTTGAACCTCCATGTTCACAAATTGTTTCTCGAACTTGTCCATTGTTTCCGACATCTTCTGGAGATTCCCGGTCGCGAGAGACGACTCCAAGGATTTAACAATCGAGGTCATGGATTTGCTGACGGTGGCCATCTTGGCCTGCGTGTCGAGGCGGGCGACGACGGCGTCGAGGCGAGAGGCGAGGCGGAGGTAGTTCATCTGTTCGGTACGCTTTCGGATTGCGTTCTCTGCGTAGATACGAGCACCGTCCATGTTACCCTTCTCGATAGCTTTCTTGACCTTGAGTTTCTCGGATTTCTCGTCCTTCTCGCACTTGCGAGCTTGGCGTTGGAGGCTCTTCGACGTGAACTTGAGCTCCATGATCTGGTTCATTAGCTTTTCTGCATTTCCCATGGCGACGATTCAGCGAATCGATCGCGATCGATCGATCAATCTGTTAGGGTTAGGGTTTCGGTGAAGTGCCAAATTATTTTCTCTCCTGCAGAGTTTCAAGTTTAGTAGCTATTACGGTGGCCGGTGGCGGTGGGGCTCCACGATTAGCGTTTGAACTTGAACGAATCGAGAATCCGAGATTGTCATTCGTTCGGTTGGTCTGAAACTGTACCCATTATCCGATTATCCATATTGTACCCGAGTATCCGAGTTCCAATACTCGGGGCTGTTTGGCAAGGATTTCTTGGTAGATCTTTTATCAGCTTAATAGACAAGAAGACGGACTAAGCTGATGTTTGGAATAACTTTCCTTTATTTAAAAAACATTTGTATTTGATTTATCAGAAAAAGTGGATCACAAATGTCTTTTCTATTGTTGTTTAGCATCTAGTGCCATTAAACGCCATTAAATGCCATATCAGCAGAATAGTAAAATAAAACTTCCCTCAAAAGTTGGCTTACAAATAAACCGAGAGAAATGTTAATTATATAAAAAGGCTTACCAAGCAATTCGGATTAGCTGAATGCTTTGGCTGTTCATCAAGCTGTGGAACCAATGATGAGGTTTCACCTCAGTAATAAATTCATAAGTCCCACTGTGAAAGGTCGGCATGGAACCTTATCATTGGTTCAACAACTCAAGCGTTCAGCTAAACTTTACTCCTTACCAAATAGTATTTTGGAACAAATACGCATATGGCGATGAACTAGCACCAATTTTCAAGTAAATGAAAGTCATACTAAACACCATCTAAGTTTATGGAGTCTTGCTTTTTAAAATTCAGGATTATTTGATTGGCATCATGGTTTATCATACTACTAAAAACAGATGAGAAGACTATTTTTATTTTTTAGTGTGAAAAAATCAAAAGCTTCATTTGAAGCTTCCCGATTTTTGGCTTTTTTTTATCTTTCTTCACGCTTGTTTTTGGGTCTTTCAGTCTACACCATATCAAACGGAAAAGACCATCTTTTGCTCTTTTGAATTTTCTGCAAACTGAAAGATGTGCCCCAAGAAAAAATGTTTCTTTGATAAATAATTTAACCAAACAGCATTTCAAATTCTATTGAAAAGTTGTCAATGTAGCATCGAATTAACACCATTTTTCATATAAAGGATAATCAAACCAAACACTATCTTGAAGTTTGTAGTTTGTACAACCTTGCAAAGAGATGGATGGTCTATGTTTCTTGTTATCCAGCATTCCTTGCTGGGTGATGTCTCATGCCCATATCCTGATTTCCAAATTGGGTCAAATTGAAAGTGATGCCGGATCCACTCCAGCTCCGATCCGTCTCATGGCCAAAACTAGAGGTCAGCCATTTAATCACATTTCACAAACAACTCTTCAAGGAAAGGAATTGTTGTTGCAACTTGCAACGATTGGGTTTCGTGAGAGTGGGGTTCCTTGAATCATCAAAATGACGTTTATGGGGAGCCCATAACCATAAGGACTGGTGGGTGCTACACGCTAACCTAGCTAATTAGTGGGTTAGTGGGGGATTAGATGATGATGGGTTTGAAATTTGAAAGGACAGATTTCTTTTTTTTTCTTTAATTTGTAACTTTTGAGCTAATGGGTTAGATTTTTAAGCACAGTAGGTTTATTTATACATGAGTGTTATCATAATCAACAGTTATTAGTATGGGATGATACATGAGAGTGTTATAAATAAGCACAGTGGCTTTGATTTGCTTGATGTAGCCTGGCCCTTTCAACAGCCTGAGGCTCTATAACTAGAATAAGGTCTCATTGGAGAGGAATCCTATCACAAGCAACAGATTAAAGGCATAGAATAAGAAACCAAGAGCTTAATCAAAGAATCAATTGAAGCTAGTTAGTGATGATAGACCTTTGCTAATATGCTCCCAAAAGGTAAAAAAAAAAAAAGAAAAAGAAAATCCCAATTAACCTTTTTTAGACTTGCTTTTGTGTAGGGTGAGGGACCTTTCATATCACAGGGAATAAGGACCAAAAATCAGGACTGCACAATGAAACAAATTAAGCTTAGCCAATGAAGGTCACAAAAGAGAAGCACAGAGAACAGTTCCCCGGTAAGTAGTCACCCAAAAAGATACATTACAGCCTGCTCATGAAGCTCTGAGCTGCCTAGGACCTTAAAGTGGATTATTATATGGTGTTTAGTCAGAAAAATGAAGATACTTGCTTGCTTTCAACAAAAGAGATGCAACAACTTTATATTAAGACCACTATTTACACTTGTATCTTAAGATGGACTGCAATACTCACTACAACTGATTCATCTCTATAGCCTGTCTAAAGTTTTTTAATCAATCAAATAACAAGTTGTCTTCTATTTGCTTATTGAATGGTTTCTGCACTTTGATGACAGTGATAGTTTCTTTTTTCATCTCTCTTTATTGTGTTCAACAACTGCATACAGACAAAATATTTCACGCGAGTTTCTTAACATTCGAACCCCAAAAGCTCAAGCAAAAATAGATTCATAACAGGGATGTAAGAAGTAGGAATGAAGTCATTTTAAGTTTTCAAGATATTTTCATTTATAATTTTAGAATTCTATGAAATGATTTAAGGCTAGTAATGTTGTATGGAAATAATACATCCAAAAAAATGAGTGTGGCAGGAATGTAAATGTTGAAATAAATGAATGGAAAAATTAGACAATACAAGCTCAGAATTGAAGTATTAGAAGGAACCTATGAATAGCTCCAATAGGTGATAAAATAAAAGAAAATATTTATGATGATTTGGCCACGCGCCGAATAGACCATCCATAGCACCCGTAAAAAAAGGTGATTTGTTACAAGTTGAATGGGCTAAAAGAGATAGAGGCAAACAAAAAACGGCATAGGTTGAAGTAATAACAAATGATTTAAGTCCTCTTAATTTAATAATGGATATGTCACTGAACAGAAGTGAATGGTGAAATAAGATTCATGTAGCCAACCTCATATAGTTGGAACAAGGCTTAGATGATGACGAATTTTATTATAACCTGATGTGAGTCAATTCTAGATGAATTTACAAATTCAAATGCTGACTAAAATTAAACGGAAATGGTTATCATTGCAAGTCATTTTTACTTTCATGTTGTGGTGGTTGGGTTTGTTTAAAAGCTGGCCGTATTAGATGTTACTAGAAGGCATGAAAGAAATTGTTTGATCAAGCCCCATTATGTACTCAGTGTTTATTTGACTAGAACCATAAAGAGTAATACTGATTAATGAAGATAAAAAAGCCTCTATTAGGCTCAGTTAGGAAAGCGTACAAATACAAATATGTAGGGTGCAAAGCCTTGTATTTTGTATGTATTTGTACTCTTTCCAAAACTAAGCCTTGGCCACAAATAAAAGAATCAATTTAGAAAACTGGTGATCATCCCCTTTTTTTTGTGTGTGAATACAACACCTCTGAAGTCATCCATCAGAACTCGAGAGAATTCACAATGGTTTGGGTTGATCCACTGTACCATCAATAAACGGACACAATATGGTACATCTGATCCTTCCTGGGGTTTCTTGTTTATCCTTTATGCAATCAAGTAATGACTAATCTGGAGTCTCCTTCAATACTTACCATTGCAAACAGGTTTTGATGACTGGGTTGAACCGATTAGGAAATCTTTCCATTCGAATATTGCTTCTTTCTTTCCTCTTCTGCACAGGATGACATTTCTTAGCCCAGCCTGAAAACCCGCCCAAAATTGACCCGATCCAGTAGGCTCCATCTTCTTTCAAAGAAGAAACAGAATAATAGTCATATATTAAAATAGATAACTGGGCATGGTTTACTCCCCAGTCCCACTGTTGACTGCTCTGCTACTGATCTTGCTGTTTGAAAAGGACTCTTTGTGAATCAGATCCTCATGTACTTAGTTCTTGGTACCCGATTCCTCCAACACATATATATCATAAGACTGGTCTTTCTACCAGTAATATTTAGAAGAAATCCAATGCCAAAAGAATACCCTCATGAACTGATGTTTCAACTGAACTCCATTTGTTAGCTGATGGTGACAACCACTTCCACTATGTTTATTTCTCTTTGCATTCACTATTAAATTATTCCCTCCTTTGCAGTCTGAATTCATTATTATATTGATTCTATGTTTTGGTGAATCACTTTTTGCTCAGTGCCTAGTTATTTGTAGAGGCAAATTGTGTGTCTCATGTTTTAGGGATCTATCCAAATTCCAAGACAATGCTCTGGAGATGGACATATCTAAAATAATCCAATTATTCCTTCTTTCCATCTTATTGTAGAGTTTTATTGAAGCTGGTGTATTCATTTAAACAAACAGATATTCCTAATTCATGATGTGACAGTCTCCTTCCTTCAAGCCTCTGGTTTCCAAAATTGAACACATCTATCCTACCTAAACATTCACACGAGAGTACACTGCCAGGTATCTGCAAGGTGAATTGCCTTTGAGCTCTACTAATAAGAAGAAAGAAAGCAAGAGAAGAGAATTTTCTACAGTAAAGGCTTCTTTTGGTTATATTAACTACTTCAGTTTTTTATTGTATATGTAAGAGCTGTTTTTCCTTTATTTGAAAAGAGAATCTTAGGTTGGTCACCTCCCCTTTTGCCATGAAATCTACCAAATGGAGGAACCCTAATCATTGAAGGTCAAGTTGATGATCAAGTGGAGAACCCTTTTGGCTATCACCTTCCACCATCCAACTTCCTTAAATAAAGAGCCAGTCTAGAAAGCCCAACCCCTGACCAAACCTTGCTATGTTGCACATGTTGTAGTGCCACCCCAAAGAAGTTGGGTCCTATCAATGGTTCAATTTGAATATGAACAAGTTTATTGAACCCATTAGAGAAACAAGGACCAACATCCACTCTCTTCACTTTTTTTGGTAGTCCATCCACTCTCTTGATCTTCGTTGAAAAGGTGAAAATGTTTTTAGGTTTGATGGATAGCAGTGGCCAATGGGTTACTGTGGGTTTACCAAGGAATGGGTTGAACATTAATCATACTGGGGGCCCACCATAGTAAGCCTTGCGGTTGCCACAGAAATTCAAGGTTCAAGCAGAGGAAGCTTTGCTTACATGATGCGCCTGACATGCTTTGGTCCACATGGATGCCTAGCCCATTTACAGGCATGCAGAGGATCAGGGCCCTGATTTAATGGTCCACCATGATAGATCTACAAATTCAAATGGATATTCTCAACTAGAAAAGTGACAAACACTCCATTTAACCTCATTCCTCTGGATGGTGGGAATTAAGGAATTTCCAAGGAAATAAAAAACAAAAAACTCTACACATCAAATGGTCCTGCTCTTCAATCATTGTTAACTGGGAAGTCTTCTTGGTGGGTGGTGGGGGCCATGTAGTAAATGCAATCTAGTAGCCAATTTTATGCTTATTTATTTATTTTTCCTGGTAAGGAAAAGTGAAGACCTAAGGACCTCTGTAAAATTGTTTAATTGCCTTCATTTGAAGTCTATATTTCAATTGAATACATTCAGAGAACTGATAAAAAAAATTGAATACATTCAGAGATGATGAGAGAGAGACAGAAGATTTTTCAAGGTTGGAAGGGGACAAACTGTAAATGTACGGTAGATGATGAGGGAAAATGGAAAGGACCCACAAAATAGTCTTTTGTAGAACAAGTAGAAAAAATCCATTTGCAAAAAACTTGAAGCTTTAGGGTCTTCTTTAAAACCAATCTGTCTAGGTTGGTATATTTTCAGAATAAGTTGATACTCCACTGCTAGATCCAACCAAGATAAAAATTATAAAATTTAGTAACTGCACAGTGGTGGTGATAGAATGAAACAGGGGCATCTACAAATCATCACCCATTCATCAATCTAAGCCATTTCAGGACAACAGTACATCAGATGATCGTCTGAGAAAAATCAGCTAATCTCTACCCAAGAGTGAAAAACAAGAGCCTAGACCTACCCGTCCACCATGATCAGAGACAAAGAGCTTTGAAGAAGATATCAGCTTTAATACAATAGCACAAGGAGCGTACTCCATTTCTATGCATTACCATGAAGGAGATGCAGACAACAATGGGGGCCATGGCCTTTGAAGTGTGAACATGGTAAAAAAAAGGAAGGAAAAGCTAAAAAAAGGCACTGTTGCACTCTAGCCTAAACGAGTAATGGAGAAATAGCCACGTCTCTGTGTCAGTGTCTGAGAGAGAAAGAGAGCGAATAGAGTGGCTGTGACTCCAAGTGACAGACGGTAGTTTGAAAGATTCTCTGGCTCTCGTCTTCTCCACACTCTTTTGCCCACTCCATGATTACTATGTGTATATGCAAGTAAAAAAAAACCCATCCATTCAATTTCAGTCTCAAGGTGGTCCTTCACTTCCATTGATACCCATCTCTCTCTGCTTATCCTGCGCACCATCCTCCTTCCTTCTTCCCTCCTGAGTCTCCACTTAACCTTCCCAGTCTTCACAAAAATGGCCATCGAAGAAGCAGCATATGGGTTATTCTAGTTTTCCGTCGTCGACATCGTGGTCACTTACTAGACTGAGCTTTGATTAGAACAGTGGAACAAGAAACATGGCAAGTGTAGGAGGATGGAGCAGAGAAGAGGAGAAAGCCTTCGAGAATGCAATTGCCGTGCAGTGGGGCGGTGGGGACTCCAACAACCGATGGGAGAAGATTGCTTCAATGGTTCCGAGCAAGACACTGGCCGACCTCAAGAAACACTATGAGATTCTCGTCGAGGATGTGGATGCCATTGAGGCTGGTCGAATCCCGATTCCTACTTACGTCAAGGACGAAGCTGCGAGCAAAGATCAGAACGTAATACCCCCCGCTGGGTCTGCTGATAGGAGGTTGAATTGCAACTTTGGAACTGGGTTCTCTGGGTTGGGCAGTGATTCAGGCGGCCAAGGTGGGAAAGCCGGGTCTCGCTCAGACCAGGAGCGAAGAAAAGGGATTCCATGGACAGAAGAAGAGCACAGGTATCATTATACCTTCTTAGGAAAAGAATTACAGTTCAGAAAGCTAATTTTGAATCTGAATTCTCTTACTATAGATAGAGTGATAATTGAACTTTGTGTCAGAACTAATGGCTAATTGGGTGCCACTACTTGTTTGTTATCATCCATCCAGGTTATTCCTGCTCGGTCTGGACAAATTCGGCAAGGGGGATTGGAGAAGCATATCGAGGAACTTCGTTATCTCGAGGACGCCTACTCAGGTGGCAAGCCATGCTCAGAAGTATTTCATTCGCTTGAATTCTATGAATAGAGACAGGAGGAGATCCAGCATCCACGACATTACCAGTGTCAACAGTGGAGATGTGTCCTCACCCCAAGCCCCCATTACGGGACAACAACCACACACGACCCCCACAGCAGCGACGCCGGCCGCCGTGAAGCACCGGCCGCCTCAGCCGAATATGCCTGCCGTAGGTATGTATGGACCTCCAATCGGCCAGCCCGTTGCCGCCCCTCCACCCCATATGGTTTCAGCTGTTGGAACTCCTGTTATGCTTCCTCCCGGCCACCATCCCCATCCCCCCTACATGGTCCCAATGGCTTATCCGGTGGCGCCGCCAACAATGCACCAATAGCAGCAGCTGCTCGCTGCGTCCAACTTGTGAATCTACGGTTTTTCTTCCCCGCGTCTCATCAATGGGATATCCAATCCAATCCGAGCTTCACTTGATCCAACTTCCAAGGAACAATGGGTGCTCATCTCCTTCCTCAGAATGATAGGAACAGTAAGGCTGCTCTATTCCCATCCTGTTCACTGGATATCTCTACATTCCAAATGAATCCAACCCATAATTGTAGAGATCTGGGACTGATTTTTTCCCTTTCTTCCTGCTATGACTCCTCAGTTCTTTTACTAGATATTGTAAATTAGTAGGGGAAGGGGGATTTTGATATCATTTAGCTGTCTGTGGATCCTGGCTTTGAAGGATTAAACAACTCAAAGCAGTTGGGGACCTGGGTTACCCTCAAATTAGTAGGGTTGTTTTAGATATGATTCCTTACTATTAGAATGATTATGATTTACTAAAAGATAGAAGACATGAACTATGTGAAACATGAACTCCATGATTTTAATGAACCAGAGCCAAATAAAGTGTATTTGTAGATTGTTTGATTCTATGCACATTAATGGAGAGCATGGTAGCCCTGAAAGTCTCGACCAAAACAAGTGAAATCAGAATCTTTTCTAGCTCCTAGTTGAAGATCAAGAGTCAAGACTCCCAAAACTGAATGAGGTGTATTGGGTTCACATCGCCAAGCAAAATCAATTAAAACGATTGCTTATTGTACGGCTTCACCAAATACTTCCAGTGCTGAAATGCTCACAGTAGCTCCCCACCCTGTTCATGGGGAATTGGGATGAACCAGTTATTCAGGTCCGACGGTTCTACCCATTTGATATATTTCTGTGAGCCTCTGAATGATGCTGCTTCGGTGGATACTCCAAAGCAGAATACAAAATAATCAAGGAATAAAACAAAACACCTTGCTAGTTTCTGTTACAGACTAACAGTTTCACGGTGGAGGAGTTATCGTCCATAGACATCAAAATTAAAGTTGCTACTTTCGCCTCCCTGTAAAGCAGGACCTTTCGTTTGGTTGATTCATTAGACATGTTCGGGAGGAAAATGGTCCCAAAAGGCCAAAACTTTAATCCATTTAGACCTTTCTGGATGGTAAGGGTCATTGCATTAGTCGAGCAAAATAGCATGTTTTGACAATTCTAATTTCTACCAATCAAATGTTGCCACCTTTCGTCCTTTGTAAGTGTCTCTGCAAGTCCACTTCACCTCTTTACATATCTTCTTAAGCTCCAAAAGGAAGAAAAGCTAAAAGGCCAAGACCTCTTATCTGACTCAGCCATCTGGGTCCTGTTACATTGAAGATGGGGCACAGTTGAAGAAGCAAACAAGCAAGGTTTAATCCTATGATTAATACTTACATGATGCATAGGTGGAATAAAGGCCTGTTCCGGCACAATTCCACCTGTTACAACGATTTGCTTATTTGAATGTTCCTTGCTTTCTTTATTACATTTTTCCACCATCTTGATAATTTGCCACTGAATGGAATAGAATGGCGAAACAGTACTCATGTAGGCATGTAGCTGACCCCAAAAGTTGGGATATGATGACCATGATGAACACCATCTAGATAATTTTAACCAGATTTATCCAAGACCTAATGTAAAATCAAAATTTTATAAGATTTATGTGGTGATGCAAAACAAGCCCAGATCTGCTGAAAGCAGAAAGCCTGCGAACATGCTGAGAGGATGGCATCCAGCCTCAAGAACATCTCCTATACTTGTACGTTAAATTTATAGGGAGATCGGAGATGTCCCCGATGTGCAACTGGATGCTGTGCTCTCAGCAGTCAGCATCTTCGCATGCTTTTTGCTTTCAGCAGATCTCATCCACTGTAAAACCTTTAGAGGTCTTTGCTGCAAACTGCATAACTGTTGCAGACTTGCAGCATGCTGTGGATCTGCTACCTGTAAGTATATATGGTGAAACCCTAGAAATAAAGTAAACCCCCAATTGATATCCAAGGTCTGGGAGCTACATGTCAACTGAATGGCTCTTCTTAACCTTGAACAGATAAAAGCACAGCAGAGAACTTTCAATATAAGTTTAAATCGCAAGGTACCTAATAAGAGTCAATGCCACCAAAGAAACCTCATTTTTAGACAGAGATGGAATGGTCACAAGACCAGCCCAACAGGGAATGCACATAAAGACTACCCAAAAAGGTAAATTGAAGTGAGATGAACACAAACTTCTGCAACATGTTTTTGGCCTTACATGAAGTTGCCCATACAAACTTCGGTACTCATTATTTGTGTATTGTGAGTTTCCAAAGGCAATACTCTTTTTTCTTTTGTTCAGCCCAGTATTCCACAGATAGGAACATTTAAATATATAGACATCACCTAACTCAGTAAAAAGTGTTTTGGCGGATTCAAAAACAGATGCATATTGTATAACATGCACTGATAAATACATTGCGATATTTTGAACCTTGACTAAACTAAGTCATTGTCTCTTCTTGGCTGAATGGATTGTACACATCCATTGGCGAAATGAACTACTTGTACCAAGAAAAGATATAGAAATACTATGCCTACAGGAGTTTTACTCTCATCTTTACATTTTCCATAACAGTATTGGTTTTTATTTTTCATACAACTTCCAAACAAATTAACAGAGAGCAATTCTATTGTTGATTAATCACCCAAAAAGATGTAGAACACCTTGATTATCAAGCTCTCAGGTGCCTAGAACACTTTCACAAAAAAGAGGATACCTGTTTGCTTTCAGAAAAAGATACAAGAAATATATGAAACCATGTGTATCATAGACACCTCTAATAATTGATAACAGCTTTTTATTAAAACCACTATTATTTACATGTGTATCTTGTGATGGAATGCAAAGCCATGGATTTGCAGGCATAGTTGGTATTTTTTACAGTTTGGGAACAATGATGATGTCTTTTACATCTCTCTTGATTGTGTTTAGAAAATGCGTACAGAGAGAATATTTCATGTCAGAGTTTTCCTTAACTTTTGAAACCATAAACTGCAAGTAAAATAAATTCATAATAATGATGTCAAAAATAGGAATTTAGTCATTATATGGTCTCAAGATGTTTTTCATTTACAATTTTATTAACATCTGATGATTAGTAAATTCTAGATGAATTTACAAATTCAAGTGCTGACTAAAATTAAAATGAAATGATTCTCATACAAGTCATTCTCGATGACCACTATATGTACTTGTTTATTTGGTTGAGCCCACTTAATATACTTGATCATTTGTTTTTTCCTCTACTTGCATGTGGTGGTGGTTGAATTCATCTAGAAAGTAGCTATATTAGATGTAACTGTGTATATCCAATTTAAAATAATAAGAGATGCTTTGAAAAGCATGCATTAGGGTCACATACAATTAAAGAGAAGGCATGAAACAAGTTGTTTGATCAAACCCCATGACGTATTCAGTATTTATTTGGAAAGAATAATTACTACCAATTAGTTAAGATAAAAATGTTTCTGTTAGTCAAAAAATAAAAGCATCAATTGTGAATACTGGTGATATCCTCTTTTCTCCCCTTCTTCCTTTTTTTTTTTGTAGATACGACACCCGAATCTACTTATGTCTTCTTTGAAATGTTGGAATCAAGGTTCTAAATATCGATACAGGCCGATGCGCGGTCCTTTTTTTTGTGTTTTATTTATTTAGTTTTTCAAAATCGGTTCAGAGGGGTCGGTTTAAGTCCCGGCTACCCTCTGAACCATGGCCTGACCCGATACAGCCCCTGTAGGGGCATATCGGGAAGGCCCCGATATGATAAGTATCGGCAGATATGAGCCAATACGTAACGATATTTTGAACCTTGGTTAGAATAGGGATAGCGATAAAAAAATACTGAAAAAAATTGCTGGAACAGGGAGAGTTTTGGAGATGTTGAGCATAAAATGTTTGAAATAAACTAGAAAAAGAATAAATTCAGTTCATTGAATCAAGCTATTTTTCAACCATTGACCTTGGTATTTGGTGCCATGCACACCATTAATAACCCCCCCCCCCTCCCCCCTTTTCCCCATATTGGTGGTTGCGGGACTTGATTCCGCATCAATGCTGGAACTAACCAGCTAACATACCAACGAGCTACTCCTCGGTTGGTTTTCAACCATTGACCAATACAGGCTAATGGAGCTCAAAGAGTTCGTCAGATTAACAATTAGGGAAGAAACATCTTGGTACCAGAAATGAAAAAAAATTGGCTAAAAGTGAGAGTTGAGAATTTCATCACCTATTTTGAATATCTTGTCTCTTCAATTGAAGATGTCTGGCCATGAGGGTGACTTACTGTTCAACACATCATCAGAGGAAGATGCTACTTGGTCTACAAGGCAATTGCATTCATTTCTAACCCTTATTTTTTTTTACAAATTTCCCCCTTGGGAAATCAGTCCCCATTACATCTGATTCCTTCCTACTCCCTGTCTAGCCAATGTGTCTGCCAAACTAAAAAGGCAAAGGCGACATTTTGGATGCTAAAATGGATTATGCACCGTAATATAAATATCAATGGAGATTCTTTACATAATAGACATATAAAAATAAATAACTTGAAACTCATTAAAACTCTTAAAAGACTTCTGTAAAAGGACTTTTTGCCTATTTGGGGCTTCAATAAAATTATATATAGCTAAATTAAAATTACTCAGAATTCCTACTTCTAGAAAAACAAAGCAATGGCCCTATCAGATTGGCTAGTCAGAGATCAGCATCAAAATCAATTATAGACTTGATGAATTGGTATGAAAAAATAAATATATGGAAAATAAGATAATCTGCTTGAATAGATCATGCTTTTTGGGCTTGGTATTCAATCCAGATGCCTTTAGATTTGTTCAGAGTATTGTAAACAGAGAGTTTAATTAGTCAGTGTTTGACTTAAAGGCTTACAAGTTCCTTGGGGAACTTTTGGTTACTTTGATTAGAACCTCACAAGTAGGCCCTTTGTTCTATTTTTTTTTTTCCTCTGAAAGTAAACAATCTAGATTTTATCCAAAGATTCAGGCCACACTTCTCTCCACATAACAAAAATTGGTTTTTCATCAAGTTAGGAGACAACATATTTTGATTACATGCACATACGCAAGCATGAATGGAAGGGTCTATTACTATACAAAGACAAAAGCAAACCATGTTATGGTAACTGATACAAATAAAATATTACTGCCACTAGTATCATAGTTGGAAAGTTTCAACAGGATTCACAAATATCCAGCAACACATGATACTAGAATTTGGAATGTGGAGATCTCAGGTGCTTTCACTGTCAAATCATCTTATGACTCTTTTGGAGGGGATAAGATTTTGATTCTTTTCCAAGGATCTGGATTTGGAGAGCTCACATACTTTCTGAGATCTCTTTTTTCATGTGGATAGCCACCTTAAACAAAATTCCCACTATTGATCATCTCACCAACAAAGGGATGGCCATCGAGAACATTTGTATTGTAACCTTTGTGGCTGTAAGTGTTCCATTTGTGATTTGGTCCCATTTTTTAAGCCATTCAAGCAGGAATAGTTGACACCTGGAAATCTACCTATGCTGATGTCTTTATGGTTGGTGGAAGGCTGTAGTTCCACAGAAAGAATTATGTGGAACCAATTACCATCCGCTCCATGTTGGTCTGTACAAAAGGAGAGGAGGCAAAGAATATTCAAGGGAAAAAGTTCTCAAAAGGTTATAATTGCAAAGATTGAATGCACACTCAGACATTGGGCAGTTATTCTAAAGACCTCTGCTAGTTGTAAGCCTGATCACTTTTTGGGCCATTGGGACAGCTTTAGTTTTTCACTCTTCCTTTTCTGCATAGGGAAGGGTACATCTAGATTTCACCTTTTATGATCTTGTGTTTTCTTTTATCCATTTACATATTCATTGTTTTGAGGGAACCTCTCCCCCCTTCCAGTTTTAATACAAAGTAATCATTTATAAAAAGAAAATGAATCAGCCTAGAAAATTACAACTAACCTAATGCACTGTCTGCTATAAGCAGATTACATGCTTGTGACCAGCTTTCAAGAAGTTCTTTTCCACAGGCCACTCAACAAAGGTTACAACAAGGGCATCAACCAGGACGAGCATATCACATGACTTGAATTAAATCTAACAGCCAGGAATAAATACATTACCATCTTTGCTTCAATTGATCACTTCTGTTTCAACCTGGGGGGAAGCTGCTTCTTGTGCAGCATAGAGTTCAAAAATAAAACCATGCTAAGCTAAACAGTCCCAGACTCCTTACGTTCTCCACAGATCTGCAGAAACTGAAAGCATGTCATGATATGTTATGAGCACCCGCACCACACGGAAGCAGTTGAGGCAGCAGCGCGCACACGACCGGCACCGCACGGCAGCGGCACCATGAGCCGCGCGCACGCACTGCGCAGCAGTGGCACCGCACGCACCGCGC